CTTGCAAGAGATTAAGATCAGAGTTTGCGGTGAGAACATTTAAAATCTACTCTTTAAACAATTTTGAAATAAACATTATCATTAACTATAGTCACCATGCTGTCTAATAGATCTCGGAAACTTACTCCTCCCGTCTGTCTAAGTGAAACTTTGTACTCTTTAGCCAACGTCTCTCATTTTTCTCCATTCAGACTCTCTACCTCAGCTCTCTGGTAACCGCTGTCCCACTCTCAATTTTCAGAAGTATTGACTCCATGATTCTGGAAAAGATGGCCATGTTTGTTTGTATGGGAAAGATGGCCTTGGTCATGTTTATCACCTGATGGCGAGTTTGGGAAGAAAAACAAAATGTTGCCAAAGGCTTGTCTGTGAACCAAATTGTTTGGTTTGAGCTACCTCTGTATTTATAGCCTAAGATCACATTGTTCCCACAAATAGTTGGTCCTCTTTATCCACAGGTTTCACATTTGTAGATCACAGATACTCAGAAATATTTTATCTGTACAGAAAATACACAGGCGGTTTCCTCACGTCCTTACTCCCTAAATGATACAGTATTTTTGTGTGTGTGGTATGAAGGTCTTTGCTCTGAGCTACATCCTCAACCTCTTTCATTTTGAGACACGGACTCACTAAGTCACTAAAATGCCCAGATTGACTCAAACTTGTAATCTTCCCGCCTCGTCCTCCCAGAGCACTGAGATTGGTCATATGGCACTGTGCTCAGCTCCTAAGCAATGCAGTGTAACAATCATTAGCATGGCATTAGGAGTTCAAAGTAATCTAGAAATGATTTAAAGTACATGGGAGGATTGCATAATTTATACGTAAATACTATGCCATTTCACATAAGGGAGTTGAGCACTCATGGATTTTGGTATCCTCGGAGTTCCTGGAACCCGTCCTCGTGGATACTGAGGGACAAATTATATATAATTATTAATCAATGTAGCAAAAAACCACTGCTGAACATTATGAGCAGTGCTTTCAGAAAAGATGGATGAGCATTACATGCAGCTCTTCCTTCCTGTTTCATTTGGTTGTTCCAATTCATATCATTCCTAAATATAAGAAGATAAGTGGGCAGTCTTGGTTCCACTAAATCTCGGTCTGTTTTACTAATCTAATTCTATCATTCTCTGTGATTAACACAGGTATCACTTACATATCCACACTTGCATTCCTCTAAATTTAATTAAAAGAACAGTTTGGATTACCAGGCGACAATTCGAAATCCCAAAGTGAAACATTTCCAGATTTTTTTGGGGGGGAGGGGATCGAACTCACTTGCCAGGCAGGCACTTGCACCACTGAGCTAAATCCCTGGCCCCCCATTTCCTGATTTTGTAAAATACAGATTCATTAGGAATTAGCCTGGGCCGGGGATTTAACTCTGTCCCATAGCAAGCATGAGGTCCTAAGTATGGTTCCTAGTATCCTCCCCAAAAAGGAGTTAGACTTGCTAGGGAGTTCTTGAAAAACAAGAAAAGAAACTTTATTACAGAAGCTAATGGGAAATGTATTTGCATAAAGTACAGTTAGAAAAATAAAAATCTACTAGCACTCTGTAGCTGCAAGGAAAGTAAACACTTTCCATCCAAGTGTTATGAACGGCCTGGGGTCTGCTGGCCTCTCTATAGCTTGGTTCAGAACAGTGTGTACCAATAGTTAAGCCCCGCTTGGTTAGACAAATGCATCTCAGCTCATTGCAGAGACAATTTGCAATCAAGTCAGAACAGGGCTGTGGTAATGCAAACTTTGAGACCTGCTTTCTAACAGCCCAGCCTCCTAGTGAGAACCTGGACAGTAGTCCCCAAAAGCACACCTGTCATTATTTGCAATTATGTCTTCCTCAGTGCCCCTCTCCCTCAGCTCTCAAGATTTCTGGAGGCCTTACGTAAAATTCTCTCCACAACCCCCAGGCCACTGTGCACAACCCAACTAGTACTAAAAATATCTTCAGTCCGATAACCCTCACAGCCCTTTCTTTCCCATCTCCAGCCCCAGGACAGTGATGGTGAACCTTTTTGAGCTTTCAGTGATGACAAAGAGCTGTGTAGCCCTTGTGCCACAGGCTCGCCCCCACTGCCCCATGCCTTCTTCTTCCTCTGCCTCCTCTAACCAGAGCCCGCTTTCTCCCTCCCTTCTCTAGAAAAGCCAACTGATGTGATGCATTCACACTGTGCGCGACTTATAACCATCCCCCAACACACACACATAAGCACTTGCACACGCACACCACTCTCCCCTTCCCTGGGACTTGCAAGAGGCAGGGAAAGGGAGGCTACCCTTTTCTGATGACCTGTATTCAGCAAAAGGGAGCTAGTCCCAAAATGCGGCACTGAGTTCATTGCTAGCAAGCTCATTAGCAAGTACATTCTGCTGTACTCCTAACCTCCAGACTCCTCCCTCCCTCCTCAGAGTCCCAAAGTCTTAAACTTGGGTCCAGTGAACCTCCTTTTAAAGCTTTTTTTTTTTGAGCTCAAAGATATGCTGTCCCACTCATAGGCATCTTCACTTACTGCTCCCATGTCATGGAAGTTTGTTCTTGGCTTTAAGAAAATCAGTGAAAACAGATCCTGGCTTGTGTAAGTTTGGACATGTGCACTAAATGAATCCCCAAAGTTACTGAGGTCACCGATTCAAGAAGTGGGTGTGGGTAGGGAAGGTAGTATGCAATGATTGCTTCGGGGCTGTGTTGCTTCTCAGAGGATCCAAGCATTTTATAACTGTTTGGGTCGTCTGGAAGAGGGCAGGGAAGGGAGAAGAATATATGAAAGAGGCTCAAGGGAAGGAGAGGAAATGGATGGCTTAATGCTCAGGACAAGAAAAACATTCCCTTCGGATCTCTGTTGTGGAGTTTGAACAACAAAGATGGAATGAAAGAATTGTTTCCTTACTATTCCAGGAACCACTTAACGAGGAGGTTTTTGTTCAGGATCAAAAGGCCAAGGCCAGGAGGCAATGCTAAGGAAGGAAAGGGCAGAGCAGAGCAAGCAAGGGCGCGAGGAGAGAAGCCAGACAATAGTGTAGTGGCGATGGTCTGAAGAGGTGATTTTTTCAGCTTCCCAAAGGACTCTCAGCAAAAGACATGCATTATTTTGGAGCAGATGATGTGTTTCCTTACCTATCGGATCATCCAGAAGCAGCTCATATCAGGATTTACTTATTTTTGTTGTTTTCTGTTTGTTTGTTTGTTTTGTCTCATTTGGTTTTGCTTTAAGAGCAGGAGTAAGGGAGTAGGTTTTCTGCTTGCATTGCTGCTGCTTCTACTACTGCTTTGTGAAAAGCCAAAAAAATGCATCCACGGAAGAGATATTTCAGAATGGACAAAAAGGAAAGGAAAGGGCCAGCACACCCCTTTGGCTTCTCTTTCCACTTCAACAACCTGGAGAAAATGAGGAGTCATTAAGGAGAGGGTGAGGGACCGTGAGAGGGAGCTATGCCAATCAGAAACACAGCATCCAATCCAGGCTGCTGTACTGTCCTAGCAAGCCCCTGTGCCACGGTTTCCTTTCAAGAATGCAGCAAATCTACGAATAGCAAAGAGACAAAAGAGCTGCATGTTGCAACTGGGGAAAGTAGAAGGAAGAAGTATCTTGGAATGAGTGTTTGGACCAGTGCTCTGCACATAGTAGGTGTTCAATAAATATTTAAAGAGTGAATTGATTTTTGCATGGGTCACTTATCTTAGATGGCAGCAAAAGAACCCTGTGCTTACGCATACACACTTCCTGCTACATTTTAGCCCTTTTTGACTTGACTCCTGTCATTTCTGCCTTTAAAAAGCTAGGGGGAGGAATGAAAGCTGGGATGGCCCACGTTTAAAGTTCTTTCTTCACTTGTCACTTCCTTCGGATCCCACGTTTTAGGCACTTAAGGTATTCTTAGCTTTACTTCTTTCTCCACACCGCTCTGCCCGCCCCTCTAAAAGATGGAAAAGGCAACAGCGCTTCCCACTGAAAAAGAAAACAGGAAGCTAGTGCACAGAAGACCAGTCTTTCTTTAGAAAGCAAAGATTTTTAGGAGATAGCTTGTCAATATGTGAAGCATAAGCTCAATACTCCCTTTTAAGATCAACTTGTAAGTAGTTTTCACATGTAATATGCACTGAAAAGCGTAACACTGAAAACCAGCAATCTTTTACATTTCTGCAATTTCGCTGTTTTACGAGATGTCCCCATGAATGTGTCAGGCAACCTTTGTTCACAATGACTTATGGTAGTACTTCTGGGGTTCATAAAGCATCCGTTTGATCACTTTTACATGACACACTCAGCAAAACTTCAATATGTGGTTGTCAGGAACAAACTACAATTTCTTCTTATGTTTCTGTTTAAGTATATCTGTTGCTAACAAACAAAGCAACAAGGAGATGTTCATTACGGTGATCTATGAGAGGACATTGCAGCCCCTAAAGCAGACAGTGTTGCCAGCTTGAATTAAACTGCATGTCCACTCTCTTTATTAATGTTTGACACAAAAACTGTTTTGTTTTCGTCTCCTCTTGGAGTTACATGTAAAAGGACACCATTCTGACCAGTGTAAATTCTCATAATATATATGATAGAATGATAGAAGTTTTATACCAAAACAGCATGGCAAAGTCCCTTAAAGAAGCCAGTGTAGGGACTGGGGATTTAGCTCAGCGGCATAAGCACCTGCCTTGCAAGCAGGCAGTCGTGAGTTCGATCCCTGGTACCGATAAAAAGGAAAAAAAAAAAAAAGAAGAAGCCAGTGTAGGACTGGGCGTGTAGCCGCACTGGTATGCCACTTGCCTAGAATACAAAAAGGCCTAAGTCCCATCTGCGGCACTGCAAAAAAGAAAAATCCACTGTAGTCAGCAGTAACCAATAAACATGTATATTCCAACAATAAAATGAAAATTTAGTTCTGTCTCACATGAATTGTTTTCATCTTCTTAATGTTTTGGGGGGAAAAAAGCCTTCTACTTAAAAGGAACTCAGATGACGCACCCCTTGCATTTTTGTGTGTTGTAGAAATCCTCACTGGACAGCTTCCTGTTTCCTGTGCATTGTTACCACACCACCTGCAAGGATGAAAGTTGTCAAGCTGGTAAGCGAGCTGCTCTTCCTCACCTCCGTGTTTTCAACCTGTTACGGAGAAATTCCGGTGACCGTGCTGTGCTCCATGGACTGGTTCATGGTCACGGTGCAGCCCTTCATGTGGAATGATGACGTGTACGTGCACTTTTACGAGCTGCACTTGGGCCTGGGCTGCCCGGTCAACCATGTTCAGACACACATCTACCAGTTCACCTACCGCGTTACCGAATGTGGCATCAGAATCAAGGCTATCTTTCAGGATGTAGTCATCTACAGCTCGGAAATACACTACGCTTCTAAAGATACATCATCTAAGTATGTGATCCCAGTGTCGTGTGCTGCTCCCAGACGTTCCCCATGGCTTACCATGCCCCACTCCACACAAGGAGCCAGCCAGAATGTAACCATGGCCAATAGTGATGAGACACCTCACCAGGTGTCCGGCTTGGCACAGGCCAACCAAAGGGCCCACTGTGATTGTAGATTTTGTATCTTCAATGAACAGCATGTGCAGGACCCAGGTCAGCAAGCAGAGGCTCCAGAGGCTTTTCCTGAGCAGCTGTCTGATTTTCCCAATATATCTGAGGATTAGTGTCTTCACTTGGATGATCTGACCAAACTCATGTAATCCCCGGGATTGCCTGAGTCACCTGAATTTGTTTCTTTACTTAGCATGTAGTATAGTAGAATTTCAAAAAAAAAAAAAAAAATAAGTGCCATTATGGTCCTCTCTGAGGTCAATTTTGAGAAATAGTTACTCATGGAAACTTTATGATTATATCTTTTAAAGTATTTTTGAATCTTTTTAAAGGAACAATATAAAATTCTGATGGCATAAAATATCAGTTGGGTGTTTTTATTTCATACGCGTAAATCTAGATTTATAGATTTTAGCTGTATTATAAGTGGTTTGCAAGCATGAATGCCTGGACTCTCTTCTCTAGGATGACTTATGCCTTCTTTATGGTCCTCTAGGAAAGCTTTCCTCGCCTGCGTCTCTGTCTGTATTCTCTGCACCACTAACTTAGCACTTAGCTTCATACCTTTTCAGTTTCATCTATATTGTATCACTTTTCATAAGTTGCAAAAGTGATTTTAAACTCACCAGTGATCATAAGAACCATACAAGTCCCACCCCACTAGCTCTAGTTGGTAGGTTCCCGAGACTAAGAGCTGGATCTTATACTTTAGTCACAGACTGATGTGCTTTGAAAAGAAGCCTCCCCCCAGAATATATGATTAGAAATTTTTCACCAAAGTTTGGCTACCCATTAGCTTTCTCAAAGGCTTGGAGGAATGAAAATAACTGAATTGCTCAACAAATACTTATTATTCAGTGCTACTGCATACCGGGCATGGGTCTAGCCACTGGAGATGTAGCAGTTAGCAGAAAAGGGCTCAGAGAAATTGACATCACATAGCTGATGGACAAAGAAGTAAGTAAGCAATGACAAAGTCAGATAATAAAAAATTCTATGAGAAACTTACAACACAGAGACATGAGGGAAGCAGAGGAAAGAACCTCTGAGGACTCGTGATTTGAACTGAATCTTGAATGTGAAGAAGGAGCCAGTCCTGGGATGATCTGCAGAGAAAACATTCCAGATAGTAGAAGCATCTCTTTTCTTTTCTTTTCTTTTCTTTTTTTTTTTTTTTTTTTTTTTTTTTTTTTTGGTACTGGGGATCAAACTCATGACCTCGTGCTTACAAGGCAGGTGCTTATGCCACTGAGCTAAATCCCTGGCCCAAAGCATCTCATTTAATCTTCTCTACAGGCCTATGAATAGTCTTTTCATACCCATTTTCAAATCAGTAAACTGAGGCACAGAGTGTCAAAAAACCTGCCCAAGGTCACACACCTGTTGAAAAGATGACTATTTCAAAGCATTATGTCATATACCATACACTTATACAGTTTGGATTTGCTAGTAAGAATTAGTTTTTAGAGCTGGGCATGGTGGCGCATGCTTGTAATCCCAGCACTGGGTAGCGGGGCTGAGGCAGGAGGATCATTGTGAGTTCAAGAGCAGCCTGGGCTAAAAAGTGAGCTCAAGTAGCCTGAATCACATAGCGAGACCCTGTCTCAAAAAGACCAAAAAAAAAAAAAGAAGAAAAAGAATTAGTTTTTAAAGAAGTGGGCAATGTTTTAGTGCAGTGTTTATACATGTTAATATATTGGCAAAGTGTTTTAGTTGATGAGTAAATATGAGAAACACAGTCATAAGTTAAAAAAACATCAGTTCACTTGAAAATCCCTTGCTCCTTTTTGAGGAAAACCAGTTAACCTTCAAAGCAGTGAACTCAAGCAACAAATGTTTATTGGACTTGTCCTATGTGCCAGGCACTACTGTAAAGCCGAGGATGCAATGGCAAACTAACCAACACAGTCTAATGGTGAGGTGGACAAGTAAAGATGCCTATAGGGATAGAAACTATTCCGACCCTGCAATTCCAGAAAATGGGCCTGTGCAAAGTCATGAGGATCTGGGCTGAGGTCATGGGTAAGACTGCAAATAGTCTCACCCAATACAATGGAGGGAGGGTAAAGGGACTGATGACGGTTATAAGCAATGAAGCCAGAGAAGGCACAGTTCAGGAGCTGTGTACGAGACAACGGACACTTCCTCGCCCCATTTTCCCTCAGAAGCTTATAAATCCTTTTTTTTTATTTTAAAGAGAATAAAACCCAACAAAACAGAGTAAAGCCAATCAAAACAAGCCAGTGAAAGTGGTACAGAACTTCAAAGCAGGATAATAGGAAGTCAGCAATGGCTGCCAGAATCTATCTTGCTATCTTCACAATAGCCGTCCATTCCATCAGGCATAGTAAAATCAAATAAAACAAAAGAGAATAAAACCAATCAAAACAATATTGAATAACATAAAACAATAAATCAGAACAAAACAAAATAATGATATCAATATTGGATTTCAAAATCAAAACAGAAAGAAATCCCCCATATTTGTTATACTGCATACCATCATCCTCCTAGTAGATGCTCAGACTACTGGCCTAAGGCCCACAAAGTCAATCAAGCAATACAAGTGTTTAGTTATTTTTGTACCTCAGTTGCTATCAACTCAAGTCTGTGCTCCAAACCAGCTGGTTGCTTGGGGGGCAGGGGGGAAGTAGTTCTTGATTTTCAGCCTGTGTCCTGGTCAGCTCATGGGGAAGGTGGGCTGTCTTCTCTCTCCTTGGGCCTCGCATGTTTTGTGCAGCTTACCAAAAAAGCAAACTGGCCTCTTGGGGTGTGATCTTCCCAGACTCAGCATGGCTTCTCACTTATAGATCCTTAAATACTAAACTACACACAAGCAACTTGTCAAATAATCATTGTTAAATATATTAAACCCACTGTGCGCTAGCTGAGCATTTCAGAACTACAATGAGCAATCTTCACAAAGGTACCCATTGCATGTAGTGTAGCAGCCTCAGAAGGGACCCAAGGCAAACCTGGTAATGACAGTAGTTACCACGTGCCAGAAATATTACTTGTATCATCTCATTTATTCTTCACAATAGCTCTGTAAAGGAAATATAATTTTTTCTTGCTTTATAGATGAGGAGACTGAAGGTCACAGAAACTGAGCTTATACAGCTAGTCAATAGCATCAGTGGCACACAAATCCAGTTTGTCCCACTACAAAGTCTGCTTTCACTTGCATACTTGTTATGGTTTGGTTGCTTTTTCCAGAAAATTAATGAGTATGTATTATTCTAGTTCATAGACTTTGGAATTATTTAAAGGCAGTTCATAGAAAACAATGCACAAATTTTAACAAGGACTTCTGAGATAATCTGCAAAGCTGCTCTTATAAATGCACAATTTCTATTTTGTTAAGTGGCTAATGAGAATTGTGTACATTTTGAAATATCCCCCAAAACTCATGTGCTAAAGGTTTGGTTGCTAGCCGATGTGCTTGTTGGAAAGCAAATGCATTATGAGAGCTCTATCTGTTGTCAAGTGTATTGAGCAATTAATGAGATCATAATTTGATGACATTATTGGGAGGTGACAAAAACAGGAGGTGAGATCTAGTTAAGGAAGTCGAGACATGGCCTTGGGGACTATATCTCGTTTCTGGCCCATTTTCCTTGGACTTTTCTCCTTTCTCTCTCCTTCCTGGTTACCATGAGATGAGCAGCTTTCCTCTGGCAGACCCTTCTGCCATGATGTTTCTGCCTTACCAGGGACCTAAAAACAAGGAAGTCAGCTGACCATGGACTTAAACCTCTTAAACTGTGAGCCAAAATGAATTTTGTCTCCTTTAAGTGGTTTATGTCAGGTATTTGGTCACAGTGGAAATTTGACCATACAATGCCTAACTAACACACCCTCCCAGAGAAGAAAATGTCCCGTGGGATAGAAGATCCAGGAAGATTGCAGTTAGAAGTAAGCAATGACTCCACTCTTATAAGATAATGAAGACTTAGCTAAGCAAAGGAGATGAGGAGGAGGCAGGAGAAGGACAAAGGATCTCGGCGGGCCTGAGTACTGAACCAGGGTGGACAAGTGCACTGTGTTAAGGGAGGGCAGCTAGGCAAACGATTGCTCTAACCTAGGTGAGAGGAGATGAAGGACAGCAGGTGAAGAAAGGAGTGGAAACTCAGGAAGAGAAGCAACTGAATAGCAAGAAGATTTCGATTCTTTTAGCTTACCGTCATGATTAAGAGATAATTGAGTAGAACGGGTAAATTTGGAGCGTGGAAACTCCAGACTGTACAGCAGAGAGGCCACGCTCCATGGAAGACATAAAACTTAAACTAAGCTCTGATCTGCCTGACTGCATATATGTAAAAAAAATATGAACAGATTGATTCAAAGAAAATATTACCTTTTAGAGCCCTAGAGGCTCAGAAAATATGGTGCTCTCCAAATTTCAGTAAAGAAATTGGAGTGAGAGTGGATGATGGGGGATGAAGATTTGTATTAGGTTGCACGTGTTCAATTTGAGGCCATACTAACATCCAAAGTGGGTATGTCTAGGAATCGCTTCAAGAAATGGAGCTGCTGGGCCCAGGATTTAGCTCAGTGGCGAAAGTGTCTGCCTGGCAAGTGCATAGTCATGAATTCAATCCCCGGGAACCAGAAAAGAAGGAAGGGAGGAAGGAAGGAAGGAAGGAAGGAAGGAAGGAAGGAAGGAAGGAAGGAAAGGAGGGAGGACCCTGCAGCTCAACTAATGATTATGAGAGATTCAACCTCATAAATGAATGCCAGCGATTTGGATCACAGAATCAGCATTCCCAGATACTCAGTCCTCAAATATCATTACTAAAAGGGTAGGAGAAGAACAGATGGCAAAGAAGACAGAAGACTAATGATCAGAGAGGTGGAATGATAAGTGTAACTCATGGAATTCTAGTGAAAACAGCTGGGTGGGCTGTACACTCCAGTGTAACAGATAAACCAAGATGAAAGAGTATTCATGGAGTTGGGCACTTTTCAGTTAGCCCCTAAATGAGAAGTAGAATTACATCAGGTGGAAATGGAGTGGCAGGACATTCTGGGCAAAAGGATCAGAAAGAGTAAACATGCACGGCCAGGTGTGGTGGTGCATGCTTGTAATTGCAGCACTCAGGATGCTGAGGCAGGAGAAACACTGCTAGTTTGAGGTCACCCAGGGCTAAAAAGTGAGTCCAAGGCCAGCCTGAGCTGCATAGTGAAACCCTGTCTCAAAAAGACAAAATAAGAATAAACATGCAAAGAAATGCTATAGTCAAGAATCATATTTTGCATAGGTTGACTACCCCGTATAATTAAGCATTAATTTTTCAAAATTTGATAGTAGCCTGTACATACTGACTTGTCTTAAACTCAGTAAA